TAAGGGGGGAATTGTAATGCCCCAAATTTTGTCTAGTGACTAAAATGTAAGTTTTGAAAGTTTGGTGGCTAAAGTGTAAATTTTGAAAAACTATATATTTTAGCCCGTAAATGAATAATTTTTCCTAAAACAATGATTTTCATGGAAATCAGATTTTCTGTACGGGATTTGTAATAAAAACTATAAAGCGATAAAGTTCGGTATTGAAATCAGATAATCAGATCGAACTGGAATTTCATGAGAATGTGAAGGATGTTAGAAAATGGTTGGAAATTTTATTTTCATATTTTAGATCAGAGAAACTTGTCTCAAAACTATGTTTTTTTTCCAGATTTTACCGAACTGTGGAATTTTGGTGATTAAAATAAAATTTTCAAAAATTTCATGGCCAAATTAGAAAGTCAAAGCCAATTTGATTCATCTTTGACCAATGAATATTTTAATGGAAGATAATACAATGGCATTTGGTCATTTTCAAGTTTCATTAATGGTATTTTTAGAATTTCTTAATAATTTGAATTAAAAATTCAATTATATTAGTAATATGCCATATGTTAAGTCTAATTAAGGATAGAATAATCAAGAAATTTTGGCAACTTTCAGCTTGTATTCTCTCCAAGGCCGAAACTACCAAGCTTCTAAGGTATGATTTTTTGTTTTGATTTTTGAAGATAAATATTTGATATTTAGATTAAGATATTAGACAAAGAATTAACCTACATGAAATTCTCTATCAATTGATATAAATATTGCATGGTGAGGATGTTTGTGTGTTGAGATTTGATGATTAGGGTTTAAAGGGGATTTGGTGATCTTGAAGAATTAATGAATAATTTTTATGTTTTTGATGTTGGTGATTATTTTTAAAGCATGTATGATGATTAAAATTAATTGTACATGCATATATAAGGTTTGGCCTAATTAGAGTTTTTGGAAATATTGGGATTTTGATGTAATTTAATGTTGTGATGATTGGAAATGCATGAAATTGATCATAGGAGGTTGAATTCATGCTTGAAATTGAACAAAAAGTCCCCCTAAAGTGACATGGGGTATTCGAACATAGGGAAAATATTAAGGGGAAATATTGAAAATTTCCTTATGGTTTAGAAATTAGAAGTATTCTATGTGAATTGGAGATTGATTTGGATCAATTTGGGACCTTGAAAGTGAAAAAGGGCTAGTTTACAAGTTTTAAGGATTTTGGGACGTTATTGTATAAATGTGATATTTGGAGTATTCAATGATAATATTTAGTATTGAGATGCTGGAAAATTAAGTTGGAAAGTTATTTGGAACAAATTGAAAATTTGGTAGAAGTTTGGGTTGGAATTCGAAAGGTCCTAAGAAAATGGGGACTTGTTTGCAAGTTAGTAAAGGTAGAAGTATCATTTGAGTAAATTAGGAAAATTCTGGGAATTCTGGAAGCTTGCTGAAATTTTTGTTTAATTATTAAGTTTGAATCAAATTACAAGTTTACAGAGATTGGAGGTTGAATTTACAAAGTTTAAGAAAGTTTAGGATGAATTTACAAAATTTTTGAATGTTTAAGTATTGATTTGAATATTTTTATTGAGGTGCTGGAAATTTTATGTAATTAATGTGAAATGATCATAATTGTGAAGGGTCGTTATGAATTAAAGGGGAAAGTTGATATGAATTCTATATAGAACTCATAATTTAGTGGTTGGATTATAAAATAAGTAAAGGTTGAAGGATGAATAATAAAAAGTAAATATTTTTGGGAATTTATAAGTATGTTGGAAAACTTGAAATCATGTTGAGAAGTATGATTTAGTTTGATATCTATTAAGTAATTGATTTTCAATTTTATAGACTTTTATATTTTTAAGTTTAGATTATGTTAGTTCAATACTAACATATAGTTTGAACATGTTATGTTATTATATCCCATTGTCATATCCTAATAAATCTAGCAATCTGAACGATCCGAATGAAAAAGAAAAAGCACGTGATTAGAAATATCGCGTAAAAGGTTCGGTAGTGAGGCAAAGTAAGTGTAGTTTATTTATTTAATTATTATGATCGATGACAACTTGCGATAAGTCAACCTCATTTTATTTTACAGTATGATTTATAAAGCTTAAATATGGAATATTTCTCATAATATTTTATGTCAGTTTTATGAATGATTTAGGGTATGAATTGCCCAAGCATGATATTCATGATGATAAATTTTAGATGTTAACAATTATCAGCTATTGAATAATAAATTATTTTATTATGATACATGAGCCCATTGTATGTTATGTTGATAGTTGTTGGTACATTTGGCATGTACTTTTCAGTTATCATATCAGCTTTGGTACATTCGTGTACCAATGTTCATCACCGTTGGTGTTCAGGTTATGATTGCACTGAATTGCATCATGTCTCAGTATCAATTATGATTTGGCACCATGTTGTGCTTAGTGCGCACCTTACTCATGTACCTTGTGTTCTCATAAATATGCATTGGGTTATGAAAATGAATATGAAAGTTTTGAATGATTTCCAGTTGACAAAAATTATGATATGATTATTTTATTATATATTATTTATCAGAATTTTCATGAGTTCATGAATTAAAAGGAATTTCAAGTCTCAATGAAGGAATTGACTTGGTTAAGTTGGTTTGACAGTTTAATATTTTATTTAAAATTATTTTATTTATGTTTATGAAATTTTCATGATTTATCTCACCTTAACTTACTACTGCCTCACTAAGTTATACTTAGCGTGTGATATTTTTTATGCGTAGGTTCTGATAGAGTTAAGCACGGGTAGTGAGAAACCTCCCGGGCATCTTTTTGGAAGTCATACTTATCATCAGTATCAATAAGACATCTACAGTGTTTCTTTTGACTTTTAGTGGTATGTATAATTATGTCAATAACTCTGTTTATCATATTTATTTTAAATAGTCTGTAATAGTAAACTATGACCATTTTATTTTATTTTACCTAGTTTAGTTTTATCAGTATTTATGTATGAAAAGAATATTATATTATTATGTTTTAAAATGATTTTGTGAAAGTGCACTAAACGGTAAAATGACTGGTTGACAAACGGATTTATTTTTTACGACAAAGTATTAATTTATAAATAAGAATATTCATAAAATAGTTTTAAAGTTAAAATATGAGTGTTTTAAAACGAAACAAAATTTTAGGCATTTCAGTTCAGTGAATGTTTTATAAGTTGATGTGACATTTTTAACTCGTATATCGAGATGTATACAGGTTAAGGGTGTTACAAGCAGTATAATTATACGATTATGTTCATACATGTCAATTTTAATGTGAGTTTTATTTTATTTTTATAGAGACATATTTTCTATTCCATAAAAATTAAAATAAATATTATAGATAATAAAAAAAATTTAAACACATGAAAAAAATTCATGTTTATATAAATAAAAATCAGGTTAAATTTGAGGTAAAATATAATAATATATTTTTTATTTTAGTAATTTAATTTTTATTTTTGATATTTTATATTTAATTTTTTTAAAATAATTTTGTATTTTACATTAAAAATATTTTTTTATTTTTTCTAAAGAAATAAAATAGGTTCATAAACTTTTAGAAAAAATCAATTTGACTCTCAAATTCAACCAATAAAACCAATTTGGTCCATCTACCACATCATTAACTATGTCATAAATCACCATGGATTGCCACATCAGCACCATGAAATGTTATGTCAGTATCGTAATGGTCAACGACGAAAACCTTTGCTCAAAGGACCACATCGGGTTTATTTTCTAAGTTTGAGGGTCACATTGGATGTAAAAACGAACAAGGGTCATATTGATTTTTTAAAAAGTACGAGGACCTCACATACCCTTTTGCCAAAATTTATTTAATTAAATAAAATAAAATTAATAAAAAATAATCAAATTAGGTGGTGACACATGTCATGATCATATGTTGACATGTGTCACATCTTGATTAAATAGTTAATTTATTAAATTAAATTCAAATTAAGACTAAATTGATATAGTGTATATGTCTTCAGGGCTAAATGTATAATTATGTCAATTTTATTAACTGTTACGTCAATATTTTCATCAAATATTAATGGTTGGTGACTTGATTTGATACAATCAAATATTTAAGTTGTTTGATTGATAAAATTAAAAGATCGATGATTAGGGGTGTTCAAACGGTTAATTCGATTAACTAACGAAACTGAATTACCCAAATTTCATTAACTGAATTTTCCCCCTTTAACTGTTAATCGAACCGATTTTTTTTTTAAAAAAATTAATATAACTGAACTAAGTTTGATTAATTGGTCAGTTAACAGAATTAGCCGAAAATTATAAATAATATATATTAAATATTAAATATTTTTAGTTTATTCCATTAATTCGGTTCAGCTAAAACCAAAGTTTAAACACCCTTAAAACTAAATAATATATTAAATATTTAATAATTCCAATTAATTCAATTGATTAACCAATTTCAAACTGAATTAACCGAAATTAAAATTTAAAAAAACAATTAACATTAAGCGATCGAACTCAAAATTAATTAACCGGTTCACTAATCGAAATTTTAATTCAATCGGTTAATTTGATTTAGAATTATGAACACCTTTATCGATTATAAAAATAAAAAAGTTAAATAATTACGTGGTAAATGGAATAATTAGTTTAGTTTACCCTAAAATTTTATAAAGCCGAAAAGATTAAAAAAAGAACTCTATAAAAAAAATTCAATGAGAAACCACCAGCAAGCAGGCGAAACCGTTTTTGAAATCCGTGTTTGAAAATTCGTAGGACACGTGTCGAGATTTCAAAAGCTATAAGGACGTGGACCAATGACTTTAAGGAAACTGATCGGATCTCATCGCCCCACTCTCGTCCACGAATTCTGATATCCTTACCCCTTTTAGCTCTGCCGTTGTTTTTCAACTCCTCGCCACGTGTCTTCTCTACTTGTCAACTTGCTTTACTTTGTTTTAACCTTTTAATAAATAAATACAATATTTAATCCCACTGGCAAGAAAGAAAAAACAAACGAAAAACAAAAAATATTTTAAAAATAAAAATTCATTTGCTCTATTTGTTCTCTCTAGAACCTCCCAGAAATCTCATCTTTTGAATTGAGGGTAAAAAAAAGGGCTGGTTAGGTTAATTGGTGAATCACTTTGTACTGCAGATTTCGGATCTTGCTTTTGTTGGTGAAGTTGTGCGTTTATCTGAATAAAAATATGTTTATTTTTTTTAGGAGTATTTGATTTTCTGGAGAAATTTGTCAGTTTCAGGTAAGCTTTTGTTTGAAGATCGCTTTTTGTTTTATTTTTTTTTCCTGCGGAATTTTTCTTTTAGTTGATCTGTTTAGATTTGGCTTGTTTGTTGATTTATATTTTTATTTGGTTGCTGAGAAATGCTTGAAATGAAATGGTATTTTAGATTAAAAAAATAATTATGAACTGCTGACTAGAAGTTAAGCTAAATCTGATACTATTATTGGCGCTTACAATATTATTTTTGCTGTTAATTGGATTATTCTGCTGTTTGGTTGATGAGAAAAAATTGATTAGGAACTAGATTTACGCAAGAAAATAATGATTTTTTTTCTATTTGTTCGATGTGTATTCATAGCTTTAATGCTGAAAAGTAAACACTCTTTGTTCGATGCGTATTCATAGCTTTTAGGTATTAGATTTAATTGTTATTAAAAAAAACTTCAGTTTTTTTTAAGGATTTTTCTAATTTGTCAAATTTTCTATTTTCTCTGTCAGAAAGCTTATCCAGACAATAACATCATTCCAAAAAGGTGACAACCGATCAAAATATGAGATTTGTGCTTAGTGGTGGTGGATAAGGATCTTGGAGGAATGTCTGACATTATGTATGAGGTAAGTTTCCCTATTATCTTTTGATTTTTGATTTAGTTTACTTCCGTTTCCAAGTAGTCTAGTGTTGCTATGTGAAAAACGTTCTTGTAGGATGTAATACTTTTAGCTTATTAATTCAATTTGAGATTGGTTTTATTTTCAGTTGTTCTCTAGATTTTTCATGTCAATAGAATATGAAGTTGTATAGCATCGGATAGCAACCCTTTTGTTATGATATTAATGGAGGGATATATTGAAAATTCGAGAGTGATGGATTTTTTCTGAAGACAATCTCAAGTACAGGTAGTTTACTTGTTGTTCCATTGATTTGTGGGTTGGGTTTCTGTTTTCTGTTGAACTTTGTTGATAAATTATGATTTTAGGGTCCATTTGCCCATTGTCTTTTGGAACACGCTAAGATTAAGTCATATTTTGAGATTTCTTTCTCTGTCAACAATGGAGGGGCTGAGGAGATGCTTTCTGTGTTTGTGTTACGATCCGGTTTTCAAGTTATGTTATATCATATTATATATTACTACTTTATTCTAGGAATGGTTGTTCAATTTTCCTCTTTTCATTAGAGATTGGACATTCTGATAAGTTTCGATGAATTTAACCCCAAAATGGATTTTATTCTTTTAGTTTTAAGTTGTTTTCAATGATTTCCCAAACTGGATTTTGTTAAAGAATGGTTGTTTAATCTCTTTCTTGGTGTGTTGTTTTAGATTTTTATTCACTTTAAGGACTTTATATGCCTGTGTTAGATTTGTTTACAAATGCTAAATTTTGGTGCACTAGAGAGCCATTAATGGTAAAATAATCTTTGGGGTTGAAGTGTACAAGAACATGGGCACAGGCACAAGATGACTGCTTTATAAAAATTACTTTGTAATAGTGTTTATGCTGGTGGGATTATAATTGGGTGGCTATTCTTTTGAAGTCACTATTCAGATTCTCCTTGAGCCACCTTAGCAATCACCTTGTTTTTTGTTGCATTATCGTTTTAAGAAATGCTTTGTGCTAGTTGAGGAATCTAACTCAATTCACCCTTCTAGAAATATCTTTAACTTAGTCTTCTCTTTTTTCATTTCCTTAGATGAAGAATGATTGATCATGACCAAACTTATGTAATTGATGTTACAGCTTGAAGATAATGTGTGGCCTGAATTCAGTGCTAGTGCTACCGATGATCATATAGTTCCTCATGCTGTTGATGAATATGGAGTTCAATTCAAAGTTCAAGGGGATGGTCAAACAAAACAACGTCATGAAGTGACTGGAGTTGCTAGTAATGCAGATAATACAATTAAATATGGTATTTTTGGGGAGAAGGAAAAAGGTTTTCATACTTTGAACAACAGAATGTTAGAAAAGGGTCCATGGTCCGAGAAACCTGATGGCATATTTCCCACTTCAGGTGATAATGACTCACTCAAAGAAGTAACATGCATGATTTCTGATGATCCAATGATGTCCAGCCATGATCTCAAAACTGGCGATATGGATTCAGTTAACAGTGATTTCTGTTCTGATGATCCAGTCTTGGTTGACAACTGTGTTACAGAGGACAATAACATCTACCGTTTTCCACTAAATCAAATATCTGAAGCTAATGCGGATCTCAGATTATTTAATAAAAATCATGAAGACAAAGAAAACAGCGAACTTCTATGTTATGGTTGGGGAGACATTGGAAATTTTGAGGATGTTGATAGGATGTTCAGGTAGTTCTTGAATTCCCATTATTATTAACTTCACTGTTATGCTTTACTATGTAAAACATGAGGTTCACTAGGACCTCCGCATTTAGTATAACTTAAAGTATCTACGTTCAAACATCCATAAGTATCAACATAGATGTACCTATACCATATTTTATCCATGCATGTATGTTGTGTTTAAAAAGTGCTATCAGTACTCTACCTTTCTTATTCTTCTCACAGAAATTGTGATTCAACATTCGGGTTGGGGAGTCTCAGTAATGAAGATGATTTACGTTGGGTTTCATCTTCACAAGCAACTGAAGGATCACTAGATGTGTTGAAGACTGATGCTAAATTGAATAGTTTACCAGAGAATTGTGCAACTTCTAGTGCAGATGCAGGTCCTTCAACTATTGATTCCAACATTAAAATTATCCTTCTAAGTGATAAAATAAGTTCCCTTGGCATGAGCAGTAGGAATTCTGGCCTTACTCACATGTCATCTTGGAATGTATCCAATAACGGATCTGGAAGTAAGGATGACTTGACACCTAATGAGCAGGTTAGTAAAATCTTTCTTCTCCTCTCTTTTTAAATCCACATTTTGTTTAGAAATATCTCAATATCTAATTATGGCACCCAGAGATTGTCATCCTCATAGTATCTTTTAGGCACGTTTTATTTAAAGATAAATTTCAAGCTACAGTACTTTGGGATGATAAGTAGGAATAATACCTTGTTTTGATAGTGGGTGTTCATAGGGGATATAAAATCCCAATCCAGATTCAGGGAATGATTGATATAATCCACTTTTAAGCTAGTTTCTGATGAGAGTTTACTGCAAGTTTTCCTTTGACATATTGTTGCCATGTGGAAATTTTACTATGTTGTCTTATTGTATACCAAATTACAGATCAGTCCACAAAATAAGCAGTCAAAGCAACTAAGTGCATCAGGAGAAAGAATAGATCATCATCTCAAAAGTGGTGGCTTGTACAACCAAAGTGGTAACACCAAGCAGTTTGTAGACGTGAAGCATCCCTCTAGTGATGCATCCTGTCAACTCTTTTCCCCACTGGATCTTCAGTGGCACAAGCAAAACAGCGGACCTGACTCTGTAAGTTGTGTACAGACAAATGGTCCCTTTATGCATCTCAACTGCTGCCGTCCTTCGAACCAACTTTCAAGATGTCCAACTCTAACTAGTAGCAAATCTGAAAAAAGGGGGCATCCTTCTTCAACAAACGGATCATCTTATGCATCAAATCAGGCACAGTCCATAGATCATGGTCATGCATTTGAGGTTCCTGACATTATAATGAATGAGAAAATAGGAAAGCTGTACTGCCAACAGGATACACTAGCCCCAGTCAATAGGATTGTCGACCGAGTGAGAGTGGAAAGACAGATTGCAGTTTCTGATCCACTCATTGCTCAAAAGCAGGTCCATCAGTCTGAATGGGATGTAGGGCATAGTGTAGGAAAGCAAGCAGAATTAGGTTCTTCAAACGGGCAGGAAAGTTCTTGTGTAAGTTTGATGTCAGATGAAGTCTCACTAGAAGCAACTAGTTTTCGGCAGCTTCAGCAAGTTATGGAAAAGGTATAGTAGATGAAAAGATTTTGTGATGTGAAGATTTGCATGTTCCTTAGAGGTAACGAGTAAACATGGTAATTGGTCAAGTTAAAACTGCTTGAATTTTCAGTTGGATATCAGGACAAAACTGTGCATACGGGATAGTCTGTATCGTTTGGCTAGGAGTGCTGAACAAAGGCATAAATGCACAAACACGGAAAGTGGCAGTAGAGATGATAAAGATGCTAGTGGATCATTGGATGCCAAAGAATCAAGCAAGTATGTTCTTGTTGCTCTAAACGTGAATTTCTTTGTAATATTTATGTTGTCACTGTTTGACTACTTGAAGTCCATGATAGGTAGTAATTGAGTTATTCAATGTTTCGGCTTTCTAGAGACTAGGGATAATTTAGTTGCTTTAAATTGCTATTGTTATGAATTATCAAAATAGAATCACTCAAAATTTGAATTTTGAAGCATATGTATCTAGGTTAAAAAGCACCAATTACAAATTGAAAAACTGTGTGCAACATAGAAATTTAATCCTTAAGGTACAATTTAGAAACAGTTAGCAATCTTGAACATGTTGATTGAAGCTCCCTCCTTCAGCTACACTCTGCCTGTCTGCTACGAGGTTTGTGTAGAAAGGAACTTATAGATGTAAACATGATAAGAATCTATTTGTAGTAACGAACTCCAAATCGTTACATCTCGAGTGTTGTGTGGTGTGTGTTTTGTCCAATCTTTTCTTCTTGCAATTCTATTTTTCTTTTTTCTTTTGCAGGTGCACTAGATTTATGGATATAGAAACCGACACAAACCCTATAGATAGATCCATAGCACACTTACTATTTCACCGGCCTTCAGATCCATCTCTAAGACCTGCTACCGATACGGCATCTTTGAAGTCTCAAGGCACGGTAAGCATTTGCACATTGCTCGTTTTGTGTTGAACTCGAAGAAAATTCATGTTTCCCTAACCTTACAAAACCCTTGTGCTTGTGGACTGGAAATGGCAGAATCACGGCTCCACCACTGCACCACCCGTGATGGCCGAAAAACACATTGGCCATGACGAGAATGGTGCTTGTTCAGATGAAAAACTGCTGATTGAAAACAGGTAGCATTGGAATTGAATAGAACACTTGTAAAATGTCATCTTTATTTATGATGATTGTGGGTGCGACCTCAAAACATAAAAGATGATGCGAGGTTGATTCTTTTTCGTCAGTAACACTTCAAAAATTCTGTTTGTTTTTTTTCTTCTTCAAACAATTTGCCAACTTTTTTTTAAATACTGATATTTTAAAGAATAAAAACTTTGCAACCGAGGTTGGTACATGTGTTTATTTTGGGCTAAATTTGGGATATGAAATTTAATTTTGTACCGAAGCTAGTAAATAACGAGACGTGCATCAACAGACCTAGGGATTGGCGGATTTTTGGCCAACCTGATTGGATGATTTAAGGATGATTTCACTTTGATTTAACAATTGATTCGAACTGAGTCGAAATAAATAATTATATTAAAAATATTAATCTTATTTGATAAAACGGAGATTTAATTAAAATAATAATATTATATAGAGAAATGTTATTATAATTAATATATATAGTGTAATTATATTATTTTTTAAGTTAGATTAGATATTTTCATTTTGAATGACGAATTCATCTTCTAAAATATTTTATTCAATCTTTATGAGATGTCTGATGAATTTTTTTTATACAAGAAAATACAGTTAAAATACTTATAATGGGTTGTACTAAATTACTTTTTAACATTTTCATTACACTCTGATTCATTGATTATTTTGAGATCAATTATTTTACCCACCGTAAGCTGTGGAACTGCTATAATGAAAGTTTTTATTTCTTTTATAGTAATTACTACATAAATAAATTATAAGTTTAATTTTTATATACTTTATTATTTTTTGAATTTTAGTCACTAATGATAAAGCCACATATTATTCTCTAAATTTCTTTTTGCTGTTATACTTTCTTTTGTGTGATATATTATAAAAATAATGTGACGTGCATATGTATTTACTGTATAAAGTAAACAATCATGTCAGCATTATTAAAACTTTTATGATTTTGTCAATATTTTTTTTATAGAAAAGAATAAGAAAAAGTATATAAATGTTTTTCGATTATAAGATATTATTTTATTAATTTATTCGACTATTAAAAATAATAAAAATTATCTTTCGATTACATGGAGTTGTTTTGTTGAGTTCTTTAACTAATAAAAGTTATAAAATGATCGTTGACTGTTTATTATATTTCAAACTCGTCATTTTTAATTAAAATTTGACGGTAATCTAAGTTGTACGTTAACTTGCTGACTAAGATATGATAAAATTTGATCTCATAATCTCAAACAACTATCATATCTCAGTCAACATGGTAACATCTAATTCAAAAGAGAGTTAACTTTTTTAACGAAAAAGGATAATTTCATAATATAATAAATAGTCGAGTGACTATTTTGTAACTTTTAATAGTCGAAGGACTCAACAAAACAATTCTCTATAGTCGAAAGATCATTTTATAACTTTTAATAATCAAATGACTTAATAAAGTAATATCTTATAATTCAGAGACCATTTATGTACTTTACTTAAAATAACAATATAATTTTTTAATATGATTAAATTTTATTCTTTTAAAAGTGTAAAAGTTAAATTTATTATTTTTAAAAAAAATAAAGATAAAAATTGAAAAATATATATATAAATATAAATATAAATATTGAAAGTTAAAATTATTATTAGGTTGAAAAAGTAACACACATAAGTGAAAAGGTAGGTAAACAATTTGTGTAGAATAGCGGGCATTGTAAACGAAGTGTTTGCATTGTAGTGATATTTTGGGTAAATTAGAATAGTGGGCCAACCGGAAACGATGAAGAAAACTGCACACCACAGTTACGGTGTTCCATGATATAAAATAGCGGTTGTGCATCTATCGCGGTTGTGGTATTACAGTTGCGAACGTTGCGGACGTTACGTAACGTGTTGCGTATGTCGCGGGCGTGATTTCTTCCTCAAAAATCACTATACTTCTAAAATATTTTATCGTGTTACGTTAATATTACGTCGCGGTGACCTTCAAAACCATTACGATGCGACAGTTACACTGCGTTGCGGCGGCAATTTAATACCATGGGGTGTTCAAATCCGAGTTTTCAGGTATCTAGATTTTCGAGTATCCGAAGTTTTGGGTATCTAGATCTTCGGGTTCTTGATTGGCTGGTCTGTGTTTTGACCCGAATGTTGTGGGTATCTGTAATTTGAACAATCAAATACTTGATTTTTTTATCATTTTCAAATTATTAATTTAAAAAATATATATAAATTTAAATGTTCGAATTACGTATTCCAACATCCAAACATAGATTTTCAAAATTCGAAATACAAAATCTAATAATCTATAATATAAATTAAACATAAAAGTTCATAGCATACTAGATAAATAGATATAATCAACTTGATGATCATGGTTACACTTATTCATTTGTCATTCTCATTTCCTACAAACAATTCTTTTATTAGATATAAATAAACCATAAGTTTACAACAATCAATATCTTACCAAGATGCAAAAAAAAAACGTAACTAAACTTTCATCATAATAAATATCAAATAAAACTTTCATCAATGAAAATTTAACTAAAATTTAATAATTTACTAAAGATTGGAATTTATATCATATGGGCATGACTCTTCATAAGTGACATCCGAAACTTTATTTGTTTCGTCAATGATAATTGTTGGTTGCTCTGAAGTTAAATTTTACATTTTTAAATTAAGTATTTCAAGTATACAATGTATTAATATATAAAATTATTAATAATTAAATATGTTATATTATTATATATAAAAATTAAATATAATCGGGTATTCGAAAAAAATAATTTTGTGATCCAGGTTCAACCTGAGAAATGTCGAACCGGATACCCGACCTGGAATATTTTTAAAATTACCTAAATTTTTTGATCGAATCGATGGATCGAGTCAATCGGATCAGTCACAACATATGACAAATAGAGTTAATATCCGGTAAATTCTTACAATGCCATTCGGAAAACCAATTTGTTTCCTTCAAGGGGGGAAAATGGAAACTTTGCATCAATAAATTCAAAATGCGAAAGAAACTGAAGATAATCATACGATTAGAAGGGTGTTTCATCGTCTTACAAAGAAATTCCCAAAGAGTTGGGCTTCAAAAGGTAAGGTAGTAAATGTAGATATTAGATAATCTCCAGGAAGAAAGGGGAAAGATTTTATAAAATATATGAATTCGGCTTGACATTTTAAGACATCAAATTTGACTTCGACCCATTTGATGCATTCCATGATTGATGTCCATTTATGTAATTTGACTCGAGGTCTTTCACGGCCTTCACTCGTCTCTCTCTTTGATTGCTTTCTTTCTTCTCGTAATCGCCGTCGTCTTCACCCAAAAAAAGTATCCCCTTTCCTTATACTGTATCCATTTCTCTATACATATTAATTAATTGATTTAGTCCTTATAATAAGACACAAGCAAGCATATAATTTAAACAAGTTGTTTTGGTTCGCGTTTAGTTTTTGTTTTCAACTCCGGTGAAAAGGGGTTGGCCATGATGAACACCGTCTTCAACAAGCTACGGAATTTGGACGCATACCCTAAAATCAATGAAGATTTCTACAGCCGTACACTCTCCGGTGGCATTATCACCCTCGTTTCCTCCCTTGCCATACTACTACTTGTCTTCTCCGAATTCAGTTAGTTTTCTCTCAACCCTTTCTTTTTCTTTTTCTGCGAATTTTTGTGTATTTGTTAGCTTTAGAAAAAAAAAATTGTGGGGGGGGGTTGTGTTCTCAATTATATACCCAATGTGTAAAGGTAAGATCTTTGAGGAAGCGATTGAGAATTGATGTAAATTTTTGCACTATTGTAGATCCATATTGTTTGCCTTTTATTCTTGGTCTCCACTTCTAGAAATAAAACTTTTTACTATTTGTAGATGCATATTGTTTGTCTTTCATATTCGGTCTTCACTTAGATGAGAACCAAAGGCGTTAATGCTATAAATTAAGCAACTGAGACTATAATCAAATTGTCATCTGTCTTTTGTTATTGGAACCTTGTGTTGTTTAATCTTGATTCATGATTGTTTTTATTATGTTTGTTGTTCTTTTATTTGCAGCATTATACCTTCATACCGTTACTGAGACAAAGCTATTGGTGGATACTTCAAGAGGCGAAACCTTCCACATAAATGTAACTATCTTTTTTCTTACTTATTGTTAACAGAGTTTCCTAGATTCGTATTCCAAATGTGTTTCCTGTAAAAGGGTTGTTGATGTTGCGTATCATGTGCATGTTTGCGTAATATTGTTGAACTTTCTACTTGATCCTCTACTGACGTAGAATATTCAAAGCATGGTGTTGGAGCCTTTTATATTAAAAAATGTTCATATTTTGTTGTTGTGGTGGTTTAACTGTTTTAGTAAACAATCTTTCATGCTTCATTTACACCTCATATCTTTTGGATTTGCAGTTTGATGTCACTTTTCCTACTATTCCATGTACGCTACTCAGTGTTGACACTATGGATATCAGTGGCGAGCAACATCATGACATAGTACGTACACTGCAACAGATGCTTCTAGATTTATTTTCACTAGTTTCAGTGAGTTTTTTTTTTCAAAATTCTTTGTCTGCTTCATTTGTAACCTTGCAATGCTTGTGTACAGAAACATGATATAATTAAGAAAAGAATCAATGCTCATGGTGATGTGATAGAATCCAGGCCGGATGGTATTGGAGCTCCAAAGGTGGTTGAAATATAATTCTCTAGCCCTTCTCGTTTGCATGCGTTTTTTTTCCGTTTCTTGGTTTTGAAAGATGATTTTCCTTAAATAGAAACTACTTATGTAATAGAATGGCTTGTGACAAGGTTGGAAATATGTGTTATGACCCTAGGAGATTAGAGAAGAAAATTAGATGAAGAATTGAGAGAATTAAGATTAAGGAGAGAAAAGAAGAGATTCAAAGAAGCTTAGAATTCATTCAATCAAAGCATGCCTTCCCCCCTCTAGTACATGGTTTTATATAATTACAGTGTACCCCTAGTTACCCTACAGCTGGCAGTCCTTGTTGTACTGAATATAACAACCTGCACAAATAAGCAAGTTGTTTCCTATCCTTAGTGGGCTGTAGAACGTGTCAGGTCCATTCCTAATTCCAAATCCCTAACCCTTTCTCTGATTTCCCCA